CCAAGTTCTTTGCTCATGGTTGTCCTAGCCCTGCTTTTATAGATATGGGTCCACCCAAAACATTAAAGCAGTTTCTTTGTCACTATCTTTTCTATATTAGGTCCCATATACTGTTATGCTTTTTGGAAAGTTTGGTCAAAACTCAGTGATTTAGCTCCATCTTTGTACCTTAGCAAACATGATAATCTCATTTGTTTTTCAATATCTACCATGATCTCAATTTTTATCTCACAATATAGGATAGCTAAAAAAAAAACCCTTTCTGATCATCAGGCCCCACCCTATACATTAAAGATATCGTGCAATTAATTTGTTAATTGTGCAATTACCTTAACACCAGCTATACGTGCAAAGTAGTTCTCACAATAAATAGCTCCAACCAGCTATAAAGTTAGACCTGGAAAATATGTACTAACTTTATAGCTGGTTGCAATCAAGCTTTAATTTTCACGTGTAGCTGGGTCTTCCCTGTGGCTAGGAGCCCCACTAGCTGACAGGGCTCCCAGCCACAGGGGTGCATCATCACTTATTTTTTCTTGTTTTCCAAGGGAAATTAATTTCTAATTATTGTTTTAAAAAGACAATCAGATGGGCATGACCATTAGATAAAGCTAGGAGGCATTGTTAATACAAATAAGGATCCGAATATCATACAGAAAGAAATGGAAGAATAGAAATAGCACGAAATACAAAAGTTCAAAATGCAATATCGGTTATTGGAAGACTAACACCAACAACTCCCGTGTATTGCAATTTCACTAGGTAGAAATTACTAAGGATAAGGTGTACTACTTTATCACACTGGCTAGGTACAGACATTCAAAAAAACCTCAGGTGAAATCAAAGTTGTGTGGTTTTCTATAAGTGGTGACGTTTAGATTGGTAGTGAACAGAACAAACTTTCACACTTGGGTGGGGTGGGGAGGAGGTGGAGGACAACTCTCAGATAAGGTTCTGCCATTTTTAAACCAGTTTGTGTGCGCCAAACTTCTGTTCTGTTATGGGTATAGACTGGTTTCTGATCACTTATAAGTATCATGTCTATACCTGGTCATGGTGACTATGAGCTACTAATGTGATAAAGTAGTGAACAAGGTAAATGCAATCCTAGGATGTGCCAAGTGAGATGTTTCTGACTGAGATAGGAAAGTATTAATTTAATTCTACAAGCCATTGATATGAACTCATTTGGAAAATTGTATACAATTCTGATTGTATATGTTAAAAGATAATAAACTCAAACTGGAATGGGTACAAATAAGGGCTCCTAAGATGGTCAAGGGAATGTGTAGCTTATTAAATGAGAAGAAGCTAAAAAAATAGGCTTGCAAAATGAAGGCTGAAGAGAATATGATTCTGTAAAAAACAGAGTGAAAGAAGAGCTATTGAAGTTAATGGATAGTGTTGGCCAAAAAATATAAGGGTATAAACTAGTCATTTATAAATATAAGCAGGAAAGTGGAGAAAAGGTTTCTAACCATCAGCCAATGACAGTAAGGGTAAAGCACTTCACTGATTTCATGATAGGGTTTGATAATTTTATGTAAGAGATTGTGAGGTGGTTGCTGGTTAGAGCAGGGGACTGTTCTCAATGACCCAAGAAGTCCTTTCCTGCCCTCTGTTCCAAAGACGGTATACATACCATGGTTATGCATAATAATACAGTGATTATAATTACATAATAGTTACACTTTCATTCTAATATAATTACATTATGGTTATGCTTCTTACTTGTAATTAACACTAATTGAACTGTCAAAAACAGACAAAAGAAAAAGTCGTTTAAAAAAGCCATTTATGGTTGTTGAGTATAATGATAGTTTACTTACCTATCACATCACTCAAGAAACATAATAGCAAGGAAATGAAAAATTTAAAGACAATATTATGTCTTGAAAATAATTGCGCCTATATTTAACTTTGTCCTCTAAGATCTATTGACACAAACACTTCAATTAGAACTATTCATTGCAGAAATTAAGAATTTGTACACTTTTTTCCAGGATTGTAGTTTACATTTTAAACTACCGTCTATTATTCTTATCACACATTTCACATGACCTTTAATTTAATTAAAAATGAATATTACCTACACTTTTATTCATCAGTACAACTTTATTTTTGTTATACATTATTTCATTATGTGTTAAATTTAAGAAGACCAGACAAACCATTATTGAGCTAAATGGATGTGAGAAAAATATGAGGGAATAAAAAATTCAAACTATTATTTTTTTTGGTGGCCTATAATTAAAATTGGTTCCAAATGCTAAAATAAGGTCTAATAATGGAGATAAGTTTCCAGTTTAATTATAAAGTAGCTATTCCTGCACCAAATAACCCAAAGGTTATCTATATGACTGACTGACTTATTACTCCTTAAATTGCTAAGTTAATGTTATACTACAATTTTTATGGTCGTATATCTGTTATATTTTGCCTAATACAGAATCCTACAGTTAAAGATTAACCATTTAACTGAAATACTTCTGCTGCTGTCTGTCTGCCCAGACATGCTAACCAAGCTGAATTTACACTGAAATTAATTTTTATATGCTGGTACTTGTATGTTTCACAAAAAACAAAGTATATCTTTAGACCAATTACTATGTATAAGTTATATGAAGTAGTAGTTAAATATATCAGTCAATATAATCACATTGCAATTACATTGTAACTTCAGGATGACTGCAGTGTAATTAATCCATTCTATCAAAATCTAATGTGTACTAGAGTACAGTTAAACTGCCAAGCTGTATAAACTGAAGGCTAACAGATTAGTTGTTTCAAGACACTTCAGAATGCACTATTCTCTTAAAAGCTGTGTCCACATTGTAGATTTCATAATTTTTCTTTTTACTAGAGAAAAAAATATTACTCATCCTTCGTGCTTTCTAGTTTGTGCATAAATTTTTTTTAAAAAACGGAGAGAACAAGGCTTCATATCATGACATGCATTAGCTGATAATTTTGTGTAAATATATAAATGCTGCTTCTTATTCTTTACATAATAGCAAGGATGTTTTACAAAATGCCCTATAAAACCAAGCCTTGAAATATAGCTGTAATATTTGTGGCTACTTTGTATAATTATATAAATATACATCTTGTAAGGTCAAGTTTCTTTATAAGGTTGAGTGATAGCTACCTGAGAAATAGTGTCAATAATTGGTTCCAAATGTTCCTTGACTTACTGATATCTAATAATTCTTTGTTAAATGTTCAGGATTTCTAAGCTGAAACAAATTATTTTCCTGCTTTTCCTCCAGTATTTTTCTAATTATGGGGTATACTTTTAAGGGTTTTTTTAAAAGGAGCTATAGCATTTTCACATATACTTCACAATGTTCAAAAAAGACACTCACTTTGTTTCTGGAAGGGAGAATGTAGAATAAAAAATTTTCCAAAGTCATGGCATTGAGTAAGTCCTCCTGGAAACAGAGTTCTTACAGACGTAAGAAAAAACCCAGAAAACTGGGTGCTTTACTTTAAGTTCAGTAAGCCCCTGTGCCAAGCTCAGTGCATGCTCAGAAGAGGCATCGCGTTAGTTTCACCCAGTTTGCCCAATCAGCTATCAGGTAAAAGCATCAAAAAGCCCTGCTGAAGCGTGCAATCTATACAGATCCTGCAGAGCTAGGCCAAACTAATGCACTGCCTCTTCCTGTAAAGCCCCTTTTTTCCCCACGTCTCTCAGCAGCCATAGCATCCAAGAAGTGTGGCATCCCAGGAGACAGTAGGTGAGGCAGCAGAAACTTCCTGGTGTAGCAAGACAGGAACAGAAAATAGTTCTTTATATAAATTCTTGTAAATAATGAAGTGTAAAGTGCTGTTTCCATAGTGCAATCCTCATTAAGGTTAGGGACAGACATTACACATAAAGCAGTTTAAGTGATCAGAAACTGGTTTAAACCTGTAACAGAACAGACATTCAGTGCATATATACCAGTCTGAAAACGGCCAAAACCAGTTTGAGATAAATCTGGTTGAATGTAGCATCAGACTTAACTGATTTGGCTCAAACTGGTTTATGCAATGTCTTTTCCAGACCTAAGAGAGTACAGACTGCATGCAGCATCTCACTTCCCTGAGTCACCTCAACTACTGCTTCAAGCACAAGCTGTAGTGCGCATGTTAAATAGCTACTGCAGGTTTCTCTGTAGCTGTGAGGGCACATCTACAGGAGATATTTATGATGCAGTTGACTAATTAACTGTGGAGTAAATATCTCAGCATGTATACATGTACCCCTACTAGGGTGTGTGAACCAAATAAACTCTGCAGCAGGGCAGTACTTGTAAATATAAGTATCACCCTGCTGCACAAATTTTTTCATGTGCAGCAGTGCATGTGTAGTTGTTGGCTGGCTGGCTGGGGCATGAGGGTACTTCAGTGTGGAAGCTGGGTGGCTAGCCCCACACTAAAGCATCCTCATGCCCCAGCCAGCCCCTCTGAAGCACACTGAGTTGGGTTGAAGTAGCCCCGGACTGGCAGCCTGACATCCCTCTCCCCCCAGGCCCTCTGCCAGGTGGGGCTGTTGTGGCCCAACTCTGTGTACTGTGGTCTAGGCACATGTCTAAACAGCATGCCTTGGAGCTTCCCAGGAACAATAAACTGTGGAGCAATAAACAATAGGTGTTAAGGCTCTTGGGGAGGGTCTATACATGCCATTAAGGCTCAGCAGTAATGGCATGTGTAGACCTGTCCCTGGAGGCTTATCATTGGACTCTGCCTCTTCTGCCTGCTGGACAAAAGAGAAGCAGTAGCCATTTTGCAACCATTGGAGCACAGTGTCTTAATGCTTCTATTCCTCCATGCTTCTGTTCCTGTGGAGAAAAATCAGTTTCCCTGCTTAAGACAAAACTCCAGTTTTGGAGGGCAGATTTTGGGGGGAAGGTGCATATGGTATGCAAGTAAATGAGGTAATTTAAAACTAACTTGATGAAATTATATGAACAAGTTGGTCTTAAACCCTTTTTTGATGCACTGATTTTTTTTTTCAGGAATTGGCTGCCATTCCAACTTTTGTGAAAAGATTGCTTTTATTGTTTCACAATTTAAGGGTAAGTTTTGAAGACTTTAATTAAAATTTTAATTGCAAGCCGTCATAATCCAAAAGTAAAATGACTATGACAGCAGATGTTTTCTGTAAACAGGAATTATGGAAAGCTCTGCCCATTTTTAAATGTGGTTTTTTTATGTGAATTTGATTTTTGTTGCACTTATTTTACTGGTTGACGTTATTCAGAACTGGCAGGATGTGATACAGGTTGATGTAGAAAAATCCTGCTTCAATTGGACTCAGTAGAAATACTGTCATTGTATTCAGTGGGACTGTGCACATATATTTTCAGATATTATTTTTTGTAATTTACTTACAGGTCATTGAATAAAACAGTAGCTCACGCCTGTTACTGGATACAGAAAATTTGTACAGTACTTAGTGAAGGCTCTAGGCTTTAAATAATATATATATATGCAGTAAGATAATATTTAGGAATTCTTTGTGTTCTAGGAGAAATCAATATGGGAGGAGAAGTGCTTATATGAGCAATGTCTACATTTTGAAAATAAAAAGGGAAGTTTTTTTTGTAAAACTATTTGTAAATGTTTCCTGATTTTGATTTATTTTTTTATTTTGTGCTATCTCTACTGTGTAAATTAACTTTGGAATTGGAAACATCTCTGTCAACTCAAAGAGTGATTCATGTTATACTTCTCCATTTAGGCTGCTTACAGACATAAAAGAAACCCAATTACGGTGCTTTACTTTAAACTTGGTGCACCCCTGCAAAGAGGGCAGCACATGCCCAGAAGAGGCATCGTGTTAGTTTGACCCAGTTTCCCCAATGTCTGTATAAATTAAATACTTAAGTGGAGCTTTTTTTGGCACTTTTATTTAGTAGCTGATTGTATCAGCTTTAGATAAAAGCACCAAAAAGCCTTACTAAAGTGCACAATCTATACAAATGCTACAGAGCCAGGTCGAACTAAAGTTTTGCCTTTTCTAGTAATGTACTGTTTTTTGGTTTTTTTCCCACATCTGCCAGCAGCCTTATTGTGTAAGTTTGTAATTGCTTTGAGTATCCTAAATGTATGTAGCTCCAACATTTATAATATCACTATTCTGTTCAACCATAATTTGTTCTCTCTTCTTTCAAATGTCAAAAATGACTTCTTTCTGTAGGTACCTACAGAATAATCTGTAAAGTTCTTAACAGCTTGCACAACAATTCTGACCAGTTAGAATGTCATTGGCTATCCCTTGATACAAGGATGATGTCTGCTGGGGGGAGGGAGGAATTACTGGTGAGTTTTAAGGTGGTTGAGGATTGCAATCTGTGCTCTGCAAGTTTTTCCACAGATATGGCAAGAGGTACCTTGGGGGAAGCGCAACTGTTGCCCAGGATGTTGTGTCCTTTACTTCCTCCTTTGCCATTTCTTGGCTTCCTGAGTAAGATGGTTCTCTTCAAGGTAGGCTGCAGCTTGATGAATGATGCAGCACCATTGGAACCTGTTATCAGCCAGCAGTTCCCAATTTGTAGGGTTGATGCAATCCTTCTTAAGGCATGCTTTCAGGGTGTCCTTGTAGCGCTCTGCAGGTCCTCCTACCATGTAGAATGTAGAACCCTGTAAGAAGATTTGATAAGGAAGCTAACGGCATACTAGGCTGCATTAGTAGAAACATTGCCAGCAGATTGAGGGAAATGACTTTCCCCTCTATTCTGTGCTGGTGAGGCCACACCTGGAGTACTGTGTCCATTTCTGGGCCCCCCCACTACAGAAATCATGTGGACAAATTGGAGGGAGTCCAGTGGAGGGCAGTGAAAATGGCTAGGGGACCGACGAGGAGAGTCTGAGGGAACTGAGCTTCTTTAGTCTGGAGAAGAGAAGATTGATAAAATAAACCACTTGATCATTGTGAGATATTAGTACTTCTAGAAAAGGGTTTAAACTCTTCCTTCCTTTAAATATTGTTTAGACTTTTAGCAAGATTTCTATACACTTTTTAAAATAAGCAGAGCTACAGCAAGGAATACTCTAGTGCCATGACTGGATCTATTAGTGAAGTCATATTCCTAAAAATTGACAGCTCTGGTGTCAACCATCACATGACATTTATCCCCACAATGACTAGACTGCCATTGGTAAAACTTATCTAGTCTCTTGCCCAAGAGTAGCAAATCCTAGTGTTCACTTTTGAGAAGTGGACAGCAAGCAGAAGCTATGTGATAATAGTATATAAAATCTCCTGGTTTTTTTTACTATTTTGGGGGAAAATATATTCTACCATTATCAATACATAATAACAGTTTTGAGTCCGTAACAGTTTCCTTCATTATTGCAAACTTTCTCTAGCGAAATGGTTTATATATTAAAAATAAGGCATGCTATATAAAGTTTTCTTGTTTTCCTTGACACTTTAGAAGGAACTGAGTTTGAATGTTGTATAAAGCAGAGATCTTCTTAACATATTTTTGTCAAACTTGTCTAAAACAAATCAATCTTTTATTTTTTTAAATTATTTATGTATGTAACATACAAGAATCGTTCATCTCTGGCATAGGCCTTTTGGTCATATGCTTGTTATAAATGGGACTTGCATTTACATCAAATGAAAAACAGACCTCACAAGTTTCAAAATGTGGACAAGGCAGTTAAGACAAAATAAAATGAATGTAAATAACAGTATTTATTTATGGGGATATACATGATCTATATATTGCTGTTGAAGATATGAACACTACAGCAGACAGTATAGCTTTAAAACATAGCTACTAGATACTAAACACTCTAAGGGCCTTGTTTTACATCACACGGTGAGCTGCACAAATATTGATCAGTATTAGTGCTAGCACAAGTTTGGAGGAGTCACATATTCAGGCCAGTAGTGTCCAGGAAGACTGAAAGGTAATAATTCTCCCCCCGCCCCCATTCTGGGATTCCCTCATGCCCCCTGTTCCTCCAGGCTCCCATGGTTCCCCTCTTGTCCCTTGGGGTTCCCTCTGGGACAGACATCACGGACAGCCACAAGTAAATGGGGGAGGAGGGGTAGGGAGCAGGGATCCTGGGTGCAGGGGAAGGCAGGAGGAGCAGTGGGCCCAATCTAGGCCCGTGAGGGTGGGGGTGGGTTGGTGGGATGTTCACACTAAGGTGTAGCCTAGAGTGGCTACACCTTAAGTGCATCAGAACCTGGGTAACACAGATCAGAGCTAATTCTGCCCTGGATTGGCATAACTTTAAGTTGCTGAGGGGCAGAGCGGGGACCTAAATTGAAGTGCTGGGTTTTAAAAACACTGCTTCAATTTAGGATGAAGTAAACCCCTATGTCATGTACACCCGTGTTTTACCTGTCTCTCTGGTGGTGGGGAGGGGAGGGCAAGCTGCTGGTGAGCAGAGCAGTCCCTGGGCTGTGGGGGGAGTGGGGGCTGGTGCTTCTCTCTGCAGAAGCGGTGTGCCTCCCCCCCCAGGCGGCAACCACCCACAGGCACCTGGCTTGGGCAGCAGCAGCAGAGGAAAGAACCAGGTCCCCATGCAGCTCAGGCAGACAGGCAGGCTCTAGGGGAGAAAAAAAAAAAGATCAGGTTTGATGCTTTTTTTTTTCCCTTTGGTGGAGCTTGCCTTCCTGGGCTACTGCCAGGCTGCCTACATGGGCTCCCTGCACAGCCCCTGAGCCATACAAAGCCTGTTGCTTTGCTCTACAGCTGTAGGGCAGCAAACTAAAACTCCTCAGAGGCGTTTCAGTTTGCTGAACTCCAAAGTCATTTAAGATGCATTATGCTGCCGAATGTGCTACAGTGGCTGGAATTAATACACAATATGCTGCTGACACATGCAAACACCAAGACCATTTAAGTGGTGCAAAAGCATATAACCTGCTTTAAAGTGTCGTGCACACATGCCCCTTGTTTCATCTACACATGCCCTAAGTGCTTAAAACTAGTTTCAGGTGTTAATGTGTGGACAGTTCAGATGTTAAGAGCTTCAGGAGCCACCCATAATTAGCATGTAACAAGGCTATAAATAAGTTTAAATCTAGTTATTCATCTAGATATATTTAAAATTGAAAATAAGAAAGTGTCAATCCTTGGAGTATCAGTGAGATGCCTGTCCTAGTTATTTACTCCTACTCCACATGTGCCAAATCTCAGGAATAAGACAATATAAATTGCCATAGGGTGGCACTGAGCATATAATGATAAGTATGCCCAGTGCAGACAGTCTAAATTCCTTGGAGTGTGCTCTCAAGGCAACCTTAAGGTGGTGACATTGCCTCATTTTTGGGATTTGGTGTGTATAGAGTCAGGAAAAAGTTGACTTTGCAGCAGTGCTCCTGGATTTGGCCCACAAATGATGTACTCAAGCCATTTAATAACTGAATGTATTTTGTGTTCCCTGTAATTTCTTCCCTTTTGGAACAGAAGTTTTGCTGTGATTCTTAATCATGTATTCCTTTCACCTAAATAAAACCTACAATTGCCATCTGTTTGCTGATGAGTTAGTAGTTGAATCAAAGCATTCTAGCAGTTGGACTATATAGTACTTCATAAACAACTTTATATAATATATATAAAAAGGACAACAAGAAGTCCTTTTTTAAATACATAGGGGGTAAAAAGAAGGTACCAGGTAACGTGTGGCTTCTGCAGGGCACACTAGGAAATCTGGTCATCACACCAGACAGCAAATCTAACCTATTTAACAATTTCTTTCCCTCTATTTTTCTGAGCAGGGACTGGGTCATTCCCCATACCAGGACCCTCATAGGCGCCAGGGGAGGTACATCCAGGCCTAGGGTCAGAGAGGACCTAGTCAGGGAACTTCTGGAGGGACTGGACATATTTAAATCAGCAGGTCCAGACAATCTCCACCCCAGAGTGCTGAGGGAATTAGTAGAGGTCATTGCAGGATACCTGGCGCAGCTTTACAAGCACTCATGGTGCTCTGGCATTGTTCTGGAAGACTGGAAAAGGGCCAATGTGGTTCCCATTTTCAAAAAAGGGAGGAAGAAGGACCCAGGAAACTATAGGCCAGTTAGTTTTACCTTGGTCCTGGATAAGCT